AGTACCGAGGTCACTGAGGAGTGATATACTATTGGATACAGGATTCGACGCTCTATCAAATGCTGTACACGGTACACAGCTAAACATCAATCAGATGCCAGTGAGGCGTATAAAAATGTTGGAAAACAAGGAATTCTGAACTTGCAGTGTTGCACTCGTGTGATGATACTTAACAGTGCAGATCGTACTCAGGTTTGTTATGCCATCGGAAACAATATCTCAGGCTCTCTGGTGTGCGCTATTGCCTGTAACGCTCAGGCACAATAACAGCCAAAATGGTTGGACGGAAAGCTTTGAAACGCTCGAAGGAAAACGTTGTTCTTGTGCATAGTTATGATGGCGATTGCGTAGCTAACTGAAGGCAACGGCAACTCATATATGGATTCAAGTACAACTTCAATAGTTAGGGGTGGAACTTCAGGTCAAAGCTACAATTGTATTTCATAATGAGGCAATCAAATATTACCGAGGGTTTGTGCATGAAGTGGTAAACTTAGTGGATGGCGCCGTGGGTGCCAGTGTGTGTCGTTGATACATACGGGTGTACCGCCTTTTGTAGCGCAGACCGTGGATGAGTTAAAGACATACGCAAAGTCGCAATCATACCAATGCACAACCACAGCACCGCCCACAACTAATGCTAAATATTTCGGTGGTTGCGTATTCGCTTCAAAGGATCGCCCTGAGATTTCATGTGCCGAAATCCTCGTTTTCTCCAGGTGTTCGAGTTACTTTTTCGTGTAGATTCCTTCCAACCGATGCTCAGCCCTGCAACCTGTGCACCATTCTATAGAGCGTGGAATTCTCCATATAATGATATATGATTTGACAGTGACTTATCTACTTCAACGACTCGTCATGAAAATTATTGGGGTCAAATATCCGTTTTCCAGATTTTCTAAAGTTGTTGGCTCAAGATCGCATCTCATTGATGTTGATCTGCGCAAGCTGTACACGTTTAGATAGAGCGTCGAATTCTCCATCGAATGGTATATAGTTCCTCAGTGGCTTACGTAATCGAAGGAATCGTCACAAGAATTAATTGGCAGAAATCTCTGCTTTTCTCAGGTTTTCTAGCATTGTTTGGCTCAAGGTATCATCTAAGTGATGTTGAGATGCGCAAGCTGCATGCCATTCGATAGACCATCGAATTTTGCATCGAATGGTATATGATTCGTCAGTGGCTTATGTACATGAACGAATCGTCATGAGAATTAGTGGGGAGGACTCTCAATTTTTCCTCGCTTTTCTAGAGTTTTTTGGGTGAAGGTGTCATATGAGTGATGTTGAAGTGTGCAAGCTGTATGCTATTCGATAGAGCATCGAATTCTGCATCGAATGGTATATGATTCGTCAGTGGCTTAGGTACCTGAAGGAATCGTCAGCAGAGTTACCTGGAAAATCACATGTTTTTATAGTTTCGGAAGGTTTTCCTGGTGAAAGTGCAAGTTAATTGATATTGAGCTTTGCACGAAGGATACCATTCGATAGAACCCGCGATTTTGCATCGATTGGTATGGTTTTCAAAGGTGGCTTAAGGTTCTGGGCGAATCGTCATAGATAATACTTGCAAAAATGTGGTTTTGGAGGTTTCCAGTGAACCGTGTCGATTATAGGTCGGTTTTATGAAGATGAGTTATATACCATTCGATAGAGCGTGAAATTCTGCATCGATTGAGATATGATTCACGGGTGGCTTATGTACTCAGTCGAATCGTGATGGTTTGTACGAAAAATGCTAATTTTTCCCTATGTGTCTTATGAATAACTTTGGTTTTTTCGGCTTTCAGATTGAAGTTTCGGAGAATCTGATTACATAGTTAGATAGAGCTCGTCGAGTTGTAGGTGGTTTACTAGTTTTCTTTGGTGGCTTAGTCGCTCATGCGAATCGTCATCGAAAATACTCGAATCCGCTGCTAACTTTCCTTACATTCATAATTACTCCAACTAACTATATATTGTTAGAAAGATTTTTAATCATTTTTTAGAAATGACAGATTGTACAAGATATGTAACTTTTTTATTTCTTTTCTTCAATATATCATGACTATAATTTCGCTGTTTTATCAAATGTTTTAAATAAAAGTGGAGGTAATTCAGATAAAGACTTCAATATCAATCCAAGAAACGAGAGTTCTATAATTTTGACAAGCGTGATTGACCGATAAACTGTCATAATAGCATTTTTAATAGATGACCATAATTCATTTAATGCTATTGACATATCATGGCGGATCGTATGAAATAGCTCCATCATTGTTATTCCTAGATCACTGCTACGATTAATCACTCCACCGGCAAAAAGTCCAACGAGTACGATCATAATTATTGTGAATGGCTCATCATAAATTCTTGACAATCCAAATGAAAATGTATCGACAACATGTAATAGACCAAATGAAAATTTATCGACAACATGTAATAGACTAAATGAAAATTTATCGACAACATGTAATAGACCAAATGAACATTTATTGATAATGAACAGAAGACCAAATGATGCATAGGAATTGAAACATAAATCAAGTTCGATCCATCTTGATCTATTTGTATAAGATTCAAAGACTTGATGTTCACACGAATGTATCATATATAACCATTCGATGAAATATAGAATAATGACTGATAGAATAATAATATTAATAGTAATATTCATATAGAAGTAGACTAATCTAAAAAACATTGGAATGTTGAAAGAAAAAAAAAGATGAACTAGCTCATCTTATGCTTTTGCTTTATATCAAATACATTTTTATATAAAATTGTGAGAAATAACAATAGTACATATGTTAAGATGAAAATACGCTCAATTTATAAAATATTTGAGTAGAAATAAAATGATGTAATTTCTTGTGTTCATCGTACTCAAAATGAATAGATAGAACAGAAAAATTATTCGATTATTGCCATTTATTATTACCCGATTATTATTTTGAATTTTTATCAGTGGATCTATATAAACTAATACGTGAACAATTGCAAAAGATATCGCTCTTGTACAGTCAATCATTGAAATAAGTAGTTTATGAATGAGGAAATATGATGAGTTTTTTTTATAAATATACGAATAAAAGATAATTATTTTTGAATTTATTTTACATATTATAATGCTAATTGACAAATTCTACAAGAAAATCGAATTAGAACTAAGTTTATGCAGCGGCGGCACGAACGGGGAAGGATACCCCCTCCCCCCTCTGCTTTTGGTAATAGTTTTCTTCGATTTTAAGAGAAAGTACTACTAAAGTTTTTTCTCATTTAAGGAGAAAATTCATCTAAAATTCTCCAAAAATCCGGAGAAAATTTGTCTAAAATTCTCCGAAATTGGAAGAAAATTCATCTATAATTCCCCGAAATCGGCAGCAAAGACCCGATTAAAATCGTTAAAGATTTTGGTTAGATTTATGGATTGTCTATTCTCTGTGGTTGTTATGAAGAACTTATTTAGTAATATTTTAATCATCTACCATCTGAAACTTTAAACGTTTTTTGTACATTCTCTCATTTTCAAAAATTTCCATATTTTCTCCCATTTCTAAAGTTCCCTTTCCTCCCCCCCTCTCCCTCTGCTTTTATCTCTTCACGCCGCCACTGCTTAAAGTAGTTGAGTCTTATTTTAAACTCAATGCTTTATTCTTTATAGAGTCAGTAATTATAATGATGGTGAACGAAACACATCATTTCCTGATCATGATTATGTTATTTGATCTGATTTTACTAATTATTCATTTATTCGTCAACCATTAATACAACTACTGGATAAAAAAAGTCAATCACGGACAATAATGAACTTATATATTCTCATAATCTCAACATTTATCATTTATGAATAATGAGAAGAATCAACATCTGTATGGTTCACTAAATGAAATATATACTTTTAACGAATTTTGTTTTTTTTAGTTAATGATTGTGAAAATGGATTTGATAAACCAAGTACATATTCATAATGACGATGTATATCAACACAATTTCAATGTCGAAAACAAAATTTTACATCAATGTCATATGTTTGCGACAGTAGGAGAAAATGCTTAATTTTTTCTTTTTATATCAGTTTTTGTTTTGAAGAGGAGTCGATGATTGTAATGATAATTCAGGTGAGAATTCATCTTGAAAAAAGAATCTATGTGAATAGTTTAGATGAAGAATATTGAACATACTGTCATATGTCAGAAACATTTCGTGATAGTTCTAATTCATGTTTACCGACATTTAGTTTCGTTTTCTTGTTGAGAGGAGAAGGATGAAATTCGATGTTCGAATGATCGATGCATTTCACAAAAATGGTTTGAAAATAATATTCAATAGAATTCGAAAATTTGTATAAATGTTTTTTTCTTTCGTAATTTTAGAGTATGCAATGATGATTATGATTGTGATAGAGATGATATACTCATTTCTCGAACATTTTTGAATGCATACTTTAAATGATTATCTGATCATTGCATAAGTAATACACAAGTCGTGATGACTAAGGATTGAATTTTTGATGGAGGTATAGGATGTTTTATTGATGTTCTCTTTTTTTCTTATTGAATTGTAATAAAATAACTTCAACTTTAGATAATAATTGTCTCGATTACAAATAACCAATAAAAAACAAATAGAATATCAACATATATTATATAATTCCCGTATTTTTTAAACAATGTTTTGCGATATTAGATTTGTTTTCTTTTTGTTTTTGTGAAACATGATCTAAAAGGGCTGCTAAGATGTATTAGTAAAAATTTCAAGACATCCGCAGATCCAATATCCATTACTTCTCATCAATTTAGTCTTTTTAGGTTCGTTCTATTCATAAAACTAAACCCTTATTTGCCAACGAAGGTGTAAGTTTCGGTTCAGGTAAAAAAAAAAAAAGCTCGAATAGTTTAGCGTCTTCTCGTCTCGTTCAGTATAACGAAGTATAACAAATGAGTAATGATAAGAATAGCATATATAAAGATTAATGAATACATATGTCCTAGAATTGACAGAACAAAACAATTTTCCTATGTTTATACACCGAAGCTACATTGTATTTTACATTTTTATCTTACAGAATTATATTAATAACGTATTATTTAAAAATGTACAAATTTATGTAACTCAAGTAAATGACAATAAACAAATAAAGTAATTTGATTGATATGTTTTTAATTTAATTATTTATTTAATGAACATGTTATATTAAACTATTGTTCACAAATCTATATTAATATTACAGTTAATAAATCGAATTGTTATTTAACAGGTAGTACTCATTTTTTGGTTCTCTATCAGTAGAAGTCTTAGCGTTAATGTTAACACAAGATATTGAGTAATGAAAATTCTATCAGAAAAAAAATATTTTTAATATCTATCTTGTTGCTTTTTCTCAGATAGTTCGCATTCTAATAGAAAGTCTTTCATTAACCACACAGAATTATTCAGTTTTATTTTATATTCTCTTAACATAAATTAGTAAACATGAACATAAAATTATTTTCTTTCGCCATTTGACCTAATATTTCTCTTCGAATTTTAATATAAGTACAAATCAAACAAATGATCTTCTAACATTCGAAGTAGATGAAATTCGTCATCTTCTTCGAAATTTCACAAAATACATCAAATTATGGTGTATTTATGGAAGATTAACATGATGCTACCTTTTTGCTTTTATGAACAGATATAATCCATATGTTCCATTGGATTCCTCAAAATCTTTATGTAACTGATCTTATTTATAATTGTATAGGGATTTTACAAAAATGATAGTCGTTATTCAACTCAATTAATAACTGTTACTATTCATCATATGCTCGGAATATTTTACTTTATTAATAATGAACATATTTTTACTATTGAGTCAGCTTATATAAATGAGAAAAATTCTACATATTAATTGTTACAATACAGATATAATGTATTCAGTTGATTTAGCTATTGATTTTTATCGAAATTCTCATTTTCATTAGATATGTTTGCAAATCATTTGTATCGGAGTAATCATGAAAACCACTCATTATATACCATTGAAAATTTTGAACTTGGAATATTTACACTTATCATCTATTAACGGCATATTCAATTAGGCTCAGATGAACAAAGAATTCGTAGAAAAATAAAAGAAAAAAAATTTAATTTTGTTTGTTTGTTTTTTTTTGTGTATGAAATTCATACTGAATACAACGATTCAAACAGGTAGTTAAACATGTAATGAAGGTATGTGTATGAAAATTTAAAGAAAAATAAAATAGTGAGAATACTCTTTTTCTTTAAAACAATATTATTAAACATAAAAGTGTTTTACAATATTATAATGTAGACGGTAAAATTTATTATTAATTTGTATTCTTACTTTTGGTTTTATTCAATTGAAACATAAATAAAAGTAAATTGACGAGATAACTTTTCGATCTCGAACGAATAGACCTACTCAAAATGTCTTCATCTATCGATACTAAATAATATTCTAATGAAAATCTTTAAAGGATTTAGGTTTCGACTAACAAGGAAAGTTCTTCAGATTACGAAAAGCTTTTGAGTCTGTATTTACCCAGTGCTAAAGGATATATAGATTAGAACAGTCTTCAAAGGGATCATACTAACATTAAGATTTAACCGATATTTTAACTTTTTAATGAACTTTTCTCTGTATAAATTCACTTTCTCGATAAAATTCTCTTGTTGAGTTTCGGTCGAACAACTATGTCTATACAGATGAAGATCTTATTGACATTGACTTCTGCATGTAATTTCAGAAGTTTGTGATCGAGTGCTTTTAAGACATGTAACTTCTATACTATACATGTTTTAAACGGAATCAATAAAAAATCGCTTAAGTTCTGAAATTTTGTAGATAAGATAATCTTCATGAAGCCTTCATGTGAGCAAAGTATTCAGGCTGAAGCTCGACAATAAGATTCTATCGAAAAATTGAGTCTGCACAGAAAAAAAATGCGCTAAAAAGTCAATATATCAGTCGAACCTTGACGTCAACATAAACTCTTCAGAGATTGCCTTACTATTAAATACAACAGAGACTTAAAATCGTTTAATCACCTGAGGACGTACTGTTCATTGAAATAAATTTATATATTGAAAATCTCATATCGCGAAGAGAATTTGTTGAAAACTAATGTAGTCTGGGACATAGACATGTGAACAATGCAATAGCTTACAAGGAAACTTCTTCAGATATTAAATTGTTTTCCGACCGAGACGATGTTCATATTGAGGAGTACTTGTAGTGAATAAAACCACTGAGCCTTTATTTTTGAAATATGGAAGTTTTACTGTTTTTCAACAAAAAGCTATTTATTTCATCAAGTCATGTGAGGTCATGCACTCTGAAACGTTGAACATTCGAAATTCTCTAATTGATAAAAACAAAAGTTGTACAATCAATTAATTTCATTAAGAACTTTATTTGTATAAAGTTTGGAAATAAATGTCTAACTTGAGTTGATGGGGATCACAACTATTCGTTGAAAAACTTCGTAAAACTTTGATATCAAAATAATAAAGACTCGAAAATCAAACTATTGTTCACTTGTTTGTTCCTCACTAGTATTGATCAAATAAAGATCATCTCGATCGAAGATTGATTTGACAGTTGGAACAATTCTCTCGTAAGTCAAGATTCATATCTATATATATAATGTTCAGTGTCTGTCTGTCTGTCTG